TTCTTTAACGATGAATGAGAGCATAAACAGATGTGTTTTAGATTCATAATTTCATTTTTAAACAAACAACAATCCAAATTTCAGAAATAACATTTGTTGATAGATATAATAATTTAATGACTGAAAGATTAAAATTTGGTCTAAAGCAATGATAATTGAGGAAGACTTGATTGTTACTGTCGGTGGTTAAAGTGTTAGTTAAAGTGTTATGTTGCTGTGTCTGTGAATGTGTGAGTGTCTTGGAGTCTTTTGCTCTTTCTCTCTCTCTCACAAAAACTTATCTTCTGGTGCGCGTTCTCGCATATTTTTGCTCTCTCGAGTACGCGCTCTTGAGAAGCACATTCTCTCTTTCTTGCTCTTGGTTTTGCCACAAATGCCCTTTGTCGGCTCCCGATTGGGACATGGTTAAATAAAAAAATATATATAAAAAAAATGCCAACGAGAAGAAGAGTGAAGATAAAAACTAAGACTTGTGGACCTGCCAGAGAAGCAGTTTTTTCATCTGAGATCTTTAGTTGCATTTTTTGTACAGAGTAAATTACGCTCCGGTTAGTTAGAGTTATTTTAGTTTTTTATTTCTGGAGGCACCCAGGGGGGGAGACTCTGTCTCCCAATTGGTAACCCTCCGAAGACTAGGAAGGTTGTAATTAGTGTTGTGGATAGGAAGTTAGGGAATGTTGCTTTCTTTATTCTTACTTATTATAAAACATTTTATTTACTGGCAACGTTGTTTAAATTAGACAACTGTAAAGATGATATGTTTAATGTGGCTTAACATTATGATATCTCAGTTTCTTGGACGTTACTCAAGAGAGATCTTAAAGCGTGTTTACTGGCTGGTCTTCAAAACAAAATAATGTTGCTGTAGATTCCAACACTGTTGGCATAACTCCTGCCTCAGTTAATCCTGTCTCATTGATTGATGAGAAAACTGAATGCAAGGACATAAAATATTTCGATATAGGATGCATGAATGTTTGTTTTGTTTGTATGGCAGGAACTTATTCCATAGTCAGAGAGACTGTGATGCCTGTGTGCAAGGTGGACCTGGAATGGAGAAGAGTAAATGTGCGATTCAAAGAGAAAAGCATGAATGCATTATATTGATTAATGTACGAACGGTCATTAATGATGAATGAATGTTTGAAAAAACGAAAGCTTTATCATAGTTACTTATGTCTGTTGTTTGCTGGCTCTTTCAGAACAAGCATTCCTAATATTCCTTCTGTTCCCACTATTGAGATTTTAAAAAGAGCCTTTGACCTGAGAGGATGCTCCAATGATCAATCCTTACCACATCCACCATCCAACTGTTCATCTTAAAATGCATTCATCCTTACGGTGTTAGTTTCCATTGTTTTATCAGTCTTTTATTGCTTTATACTAGTGTATTGATTTTATTTTGAATAAAGGTTTTTTTATAAGTATTTTTGATTTCTGACAATATATAATGTGAAGTTGTTTAATATCTGATATTTTTCTAATGGTTTGTTCTCTTACTCTGAGGTTGGCCTTACTGAGATGAATCCTATCACTGTGCTGCGTTGAACCGGGGGACAAGGGCCTCTCGTGGGACATGCAAAATCCCGTTGAACCGGGGGACAAGGGCCTCTCGTGGGACATGCAATTGCGCCCATCCCTGGGTAACACTACGGCTTCACCACATCCTATGAGCCAACACCATTGAGCCTGATGAGTGTTCCAAGCAGTCATCGTGCTGACACTCCATTGTCAACTGGCTCACCCGTCAAACAAATAGTTTCTAAGGTACAGACTGGACCCTAAAAAAATGCTCTAAAGTTTGGAGCAGTTCAGCAAAACATCTAACTTCTGGTGCCCAAGGGGCCTCCGGAAGGAATTTTCTCTCTGTGGTACTCCCACTGTTCTCAATGATTAATGGGCAGATGTGGTTTTGCCCATATCTCACAAAGAACTTTGCTTTCACTCCCATTCCACTACACAAAAGGGGAGTTTTTGCTTGGATGGAAGATGGATTCTTGGTCTTGCGCTACAGGATGTCGGATGGAAGATGGATTCTTGGTCTTGCGAAAGAGGATGTCGGATGGAAGATGGACCTGTGATTTGTCATTATCGTGGTGTTGGTTAATAAGCTGTGTGTTATTCTTGGATGAGTGGGATTGTATTGTCGTTGGGGGGGTTCCTGTGTTTTGGTTTTGTGCAGTATGGCATATTTTTGGGATTCATGTCAGTCAAATTGCCGTATATCTTTAAAAAAAAAGTTTTTGGTTGAAAATGATTATTAATTATGGATTTCTTTGTTTGAGGGAAACCTTACTCAGATGGATACTGGTCGTGATGCTGTGCTTGGTTCGCATGCGGGGATCTTCTGTGGATGTGCGGCTACACTTGTCCTTGGGCATTCTCCATGGCCTCACCACACCCCGGACTGAAGTGGGTCTGCAGAAATACCAGACTGTCTGAAGGCACTGAATATACAAATGCCGTCTCTAACAACTACAATGAACTATAACATTGAAGGGTTTGAGGGGCTCTTGTGCATGAATAGAGACGAACAGAGACACTGCTGTCTGGAAAAATACACTAAGTACTTTCAAATCTTTTATTGGGGTGTTGGTAGATGGACTGTGGGTTGTTCTTGGGCGGGTGTGGTTGTGTTGTCCTCGGGGGGTGCTCCGTGTTTGGGCTCGGCATAGTAGATCGTGCTGGGATCCATGTTAGTAAGGGAAGGAAGAGAAAAATAAGATTTTTCAAAAATATTTGTAAACTGTGTTTTGAATGCTATCGAACATGATTTGTTTTAAGCTTAATACCGAATCACATACTTTATATATTTTTAAAGATGATTTCTTTTATGTTGAAACTTGATCAATATACTCTTAAATCAATGTGATGTGTTATAACTAGTTAGTTGTTCGGTGTAACTGCCTCAATGGACCATGTGATGACTGTTAGAAATGTTATGAGGTGTGACCTCTTTCAGAGGTCAAGAGAGGGATTTGTGGGAAATTTTATTAACTTCCTATATTGGTAAAGTTAGATCTCACTATAATGAGAATGGATGGTTTTATTATACATGGCCTCGGAAAAGGGAAAGAGGACTGCTTTGACTCCCCTTTTCCTCCCAGGCAGGAAGAGATAAGGATATTCTTCCAGAATATTCCAGTTTTGTTTCAAAGGAAATGCGTCAGGGGGGCGCGGAGAGTGAAACTGAACTGTGATATTTGAGTGGAGAACAACAGAGAATAATCAGAATCATCCTATGACTGGGAGGATTCTCCGGTGCACCGCATTGAGTAATACTTATTAAATCTACCTTTTTATTAATACATGTTCTCCTAAAATCATTTTGAACACGCATTGGACCCCCAAAAGTCCAACATTGCCTAACACGCAAAAGGTCCTCAGTTCGAAACTGGGCGGAAACAACATGAAGGATCTTTCTGAAAATTTACTGTAGTATTTTGCTTTTGGACATTAAGGCTTTTAACTTTTGTGTAATTTATCCAAAAAGATTGAAAAAAATGAGAAAATTGCAGCTGTGTAGGTTTCCGCAGTATAGTGGTTATTACGTGTGCCTTACTTGTAAAAGCTCCCCAGTTTGAAACTGGGCGAACACAACATGAAGGAGCTCTTTCTGAAAATATACTGTGGTATTTTGTTTTTGGACATTAAGGATTTTAACTTTTGTGTTATTTTAAGTTTCTGAAAATCTACTGTAGTATTTTGTTTTTGGACATTAAGGGATTTAACTTTTGTGTTATTTTATCCAAAATGATTGAAAAAAATGAGAAAATTACAACTATTTAGTTTTCAGTAGTGTAGTGGTCATCACGTTTGCCTAACACACGAAAGATCTTCAGTCCAAAACTGGGCGGAAACAACATGAATAAGCTTTTTCTGTAAATCTACTGTGGTATTTTCTTTTTGGACATTAAGGAATGTGAAAGTTACAACTGTGTAGGTTTCCAAAGTGTAGTGGTTATTACGTGTGTCTTACTTGTAAAAGCTACCCAGTTCGAAACTGGGCGGAAACAACATAAAGTAGCTCTTTCTAAAAATCTACCATGGGATTTTGTTTTTGGATATTAAGGATTTTAACTTTTGTGTTATTTTATCCAAAATTATTGAAAAAAATGAGAAAATTACAATGGTGTAAGTTTCCATAGTGTAGTGGTCATCACGTTTGCCTTACACGCAAAAGGTCCCCAGTTAAAAAAACTGGGCGGAAACAAATTTAAGGAGCTCTTTCTGAAAATCTACTGTAGTATTTTGTTATTGGACATTAAGGAATTTAACTTTTGTGTTATTTTATCCAAAATGATTGAAAAAATGTGAAAATTACAATGGTGTAAGTTTCCGTAGTGTAGTGGTAACTTTTGTGTTATTTTATCCAAAATGATTAAAAAAAAATTGTGAAAATCACAACTATGTAAGTTTCCGTAGTGTAGTGGTCATCACGTTTGCCTAACACGCAAAATGGTCCTCAGTTCGAAACTGGGCGGAAACAACATGAAGGAGCTCTTTCTGAAAATCTACTGTAGTATTTTGTTTTTGGACATTAAGGAATTTTACTTTTGTGTTATTTTATCCAAAATGATGGAAAAAAATGTGAAAATTACAGCTAGGCAAGATTTCGTAGTGAAGTGGTCATCACGTTTGCCTCACAAGCAAAATGGTCCCCAGTATAAAACTGGGCGGAAACAACAAGAAGGAACTTTTCAGAAAATCTACTGTGGTATTTTGTTTTTGGACATTAAGGAATTTAACTTTTGTGTTATTTTATCCGAAAAGATTGAAAAAATGTGAAAATTCCAATGGTGTAAGTTTCCATAGTGTAGTGGTCATCACGTTTGCCTTACACGCAAAAGTTCCCCAGTAAAAAACTGGGCGGAAACAAATTTAAGGAGCTCTTTGTGAAAATCTACTGTAGTATTTTGTTTTTGGACATTAAGGGATTTAACTTTTGTGTTATTTTATCCAAAATGATTGAAAAAAATTAGAAAATTACAACTATTTAGTTTTCAGTAGTGTAGTGGTCATCACGTTTGCCTAACACACAAAAGATCTTCAGTCCGAAACTGGGCGGAAACAACATGAATAAGCTTTTTCTGTAAATCTACTGTGGTATTTTCTTTTTGGACATTAAGGAATGTGAAAGTTACAACTGTGTAGGTTTCCAAAGTGTAGTGGTTATTACGTGTGTCTTACTTGTAAAAGCTACCCAGTTCGAAACTGGGCGGAAAAAACATAAAGTAGCTCTTTCTAAAAATCTACCGTGGGATTTTGTTTTTGGATATTAAGGATTTTAACTTTTGTGTTATTTTATCCAAAATTATTAAAAAAAATTAGAAAATTCCAATGGTGTAAGTTTCCATAGTGTAGTGGTCATCACGTTTGCCTTACACGCAAAAGGTCCCCAGTTAAAAAAACTGGGCGGAAACAAATTTAAGGAGCTCTTTCTGAAAATCTACTGTAGTATTTTGTTATTGGACATTAAGGAATTTAACTTTTGTGTTATTTTATCCAAAATGATTGAAAAAATGTGAAAATTACAATGGTGTAAGTTTCCGTAGTGTAGTGGTAACTTTTGTGTTATTTTATCCAAAATGATTAAAAAAAATTGTGAAAATCACAACTATGTAAGTTTCCGTAGTGTAGTGGTCATCACGTTTGCCTAACACGCAAAATGGTCCTCAGTTGAAACTAAGGAAACAACATGAAGGAGCTCTTTCTGAAAATCTACTGTAGTATTTTGTTTTGGACATTAAGGAATTTTACTTTTGTGTTATTTTATCCAAAATGATGGAAAAATGTGAAAATTACAGCTAGTGCAAGATTTCTAGTGAAGTGGTCATCACGTTTGCCTCACATGCAAAATGGTCCCCAGTATAAAACTGGGCGGAAACAACAAGAAGGAACTTTTTCTGAAAATCTACTGTGGTATTTTGTTTTTGGACATTAAGGAATTTAACTTTTGTGTTATTTTATCCAAAATGATTGAAAAGAATGTCAAAATTACAACTGTGTAAGTTTCTGTAGTGTAGTGGTCATCACGTTTGCCTCACAAGCAAAAGGACCCCAGTTTGAAACTGGGCGGAAACAACAAGAAGGAACTTTTTCAGAAAATCTACTGTGGTATTTTGTTTTTGGACATTAAGGAATTTAACTTTTGTGTTATTTTATCCGAAAAGATTGAAAAAAATGTGAAAATTCCAATGGTGTAAGTTTCCATAGTGTAGTGGTCATCACGTTTGCCTTACACGCAAAAGTTCCCCAGTAAAAAACTGGGCGGAAACAAATTTAAGGAGCTCTTTGTGAAAATCTACTGTAGTATTTTGTTATTGGACATTAAGGAATTTAACTTTTGTGTTATTTTATCCAAAATGATCAAAAAAATGTGAAAATTACAATGGTGTAAGTTTCCGTAGTGTAGTGGTAACTTTTGTGTTATTTTATCCAAAATGATTAAAAAAAATTGTGAAAATCACAACTATGTAAGTTTCCGTAGTGTAGTGGTCATCACGTTTGCCTCAAACACAAAAGGTCCTCAGTTCGAAACTGGGCGGAAACATCCTGAAGGAGCTCTTTCTGAAAATCTACTCTGGTATTTTGTTTTTGGACATTAAGGAATTTTACTTTTGTGTTATTTTATCCAAAATGATTGAAAAAATTAGAAAATTACAACTATGTAAGTTTCCGTAGTGTAGTGGTCATCATGTTTACCTTACAAGCAAAAGGTCCCCAGTTCGGAACTGGGGGAAACAAATTTAAGGAGCTCTTTCTGAAAATCTACTGTAGTATTTTGTTTGTGGACATTAAGGAATTTAACTTTTGTGTTATTTTATCCAAAATGATTGAAAAAAATGAGAAAATTACAACTATCTAAGTTTCCGTAGTGTAGTGGTCATCACATTAGCCTAACATGCAAAGGGTCCTCAGTTTGAAACTTGGTGGAAACAACATAAAGGAGCTCTTTCTGAAAATCTACTGTGGTATTTTCTTTTTGGACATTAAGGAACTTAACTTTTGTGTTAATTTATCCAAAATGATTGAAAAAAATGTGAAAATTCCAATGGTGTAAGTTTCCATAGTGTAGTGGTCATCACATTTGCCTTACACCCAAAAGATCTTCAGTCCGAAACTGGGTGGAAACAACATAAAGGAGCTCTTTCTGAAAATATACTGTGGTATTTTCTTTTTGGACATTAAGGAACTTAACTTTTGTGTTAATTTATCCCAAATGATTGAAAAAAATGAGAAAATTACAACTATGTAAGTTTCTGTAGTGTGGTGGTCATCACGTTTGCCTCACACGCAAAAGGTCCTCAGTTCGAAACTGGGTGGTGTTGGATTTTTTATATTATTGGGTCAAAACCCATAATCCATTGCGTGTTCAAAAACCGAAGAGGAGAACGTGTATTAATAAAAAGGTAGATTTAAGAGAAAAACAAGAAATCGACACGATGCATCGGAGAACCTTCCCGTTCTGTTCACAGGATGATTCTGCTTTTTGTCCGTTCGTCATCAGCTTTTAGTCTCACAGTTCAGTTGCATTTCCTTTGAAACAAAACTGGATTATTCTGGAGGAAAATCCTTATCTCTTTCTGCCTGGGAAGAGCATAGGGAGTCTTCCTCTCCAAGGCCAGGTATAATGAAACCATTCATTCTCATTATAGTGAGATATGACTTTACAAGAAACCATAGAAAGTTAATAAAATTTCCCACAAATCCCTCTCTTGACCTCTGAAAGAGGTCACACCTCATACTAACAGTCACCACATGGTTCATTCATAGTATAACATGGTTCTTCCCTTACAAACATGGATCCCAGCACGATCTACTATGCCGAGCCCAAACACGGAGCACCCCCCCGAGGACAATACAACCACACCCACCCAAGAACAACCCACAGTCCATCTACCAACACCCCAATAAGAGATTTGAAAGTACTCAGTGTATTTTTCCAGACATTAGTGTCTCTGTTCGTCTCTTTTCATGCACAAAGGCCCCTCAAACCCTTCGACGTTATAGTCCATTGTAGTCGTTAGAGACGGCATTTGTATATTCAGTGCCTTCAGACGGTCTGGTATTTCTACAGACCCTCTTCAGTCCGGGGTGTGGTGAGGCCATTGGGAATGCCCAAGGGCAAGCGTAGCTGCACATCCACAGAAGGTCCCCGCATGCGAACCAAGCACAGCATCACGGCCAGTATCCATCCGAGTAAGGTTTCCCTCAAACAAAGAAATCCATAATTAATAATCATTTTCAACCAAAAACTTTTTTTTTTTAAGATGTATACGGCAATTTGACTGGCATGAATCCCAAAAATATGCTATACTACACAAAACCAAAACACAGGAACCCCCCCAACGACAATACAATCCCACACTTCCAAGAATAACACACAGCTTATTAACCAACACCACGATAATGATAAGGCACAGGTCCATCTTCCATCCGACATCCTCTTTCGCAATTGCATGTCCCACGAGAGGCCCCCGCCCCCCGGTTCAGCGCAGCACAGTGAAAGGACTCATCTCAGCAAGGCCAACCTCAGAGTAGGAGAACAAACCATTAGAAAAATATCAGATATTAAACAACTTCTTATTATATATTGTCAGAAATCAAAAATACTAATAAAACCCTTTTTTTTTTTCAAAATAAAATGCAAAATAAAATCAATACACTAGTATAAAGCAATAAAAGACTGATAAAACAATGGAAACTAACACCGTAAGGATGAATGCAGTTTAAGATGAACAGTTGGATAGTGGATGTCGTAAGGATTGATCATTGGAGCATCCTCTCAGGTCAAAGGCTCTTTTTAAAATCTCAATAGTGGGAACAGAAATATTAGGAATGCTTGTTCTGAAAGAGCCAGCAAACAACAGGCATAAGTAACTATGATAAAGTAAGCTTTCGTTTTGTCAAACATTCATTCATCATTAATGACCATTCGTACATTAATAAATATAATGCATTTGTGCTTTTCTCTTTGAATCACACATTTACTCTTCTCCATTCCAGGTCCACCTTGCACACAGGCATCACAGTCTCTCTGACTATGGAATAAGTTCCTTTCATACAAACAAAAACAAACATTCATGCATCCTAGATCAAAATATTTTATTTCCTTGCATTCAGTTTTCTCATCAATCAATGAGCCAGAATGAACTGAGGCAGGAGTTATGCAAACAGCGTTGGAATCTACAGCAACATTATTTTATTTTGAAGACCAGCCAGTAAACACGCTTTAAGATCTCTCTTGAGTAACGTCCCAGAAACTTAGATATCATAATGTTAAGCCACAAACAAAAAAAACATATCATCTTTACAGTTGTCTAATTTAAACAACGTTGCCATTTAGTAAATAAAATGTTTTATAATAATTAAGAATAAAGAGACAACACTCCGGACCTAACTACCTACCCACAACACTAAATACAACCTTCCTAGTCTTCAGAGGGTTACCAATTGGGAGACAGAGTCTCCCCCCCCCCCGGGGTGCCTCCAAAAATAAAAAACTAAAATAACAAACTAAAACAACAAACAGTGACCCGATGGAAGGTCCGGCGCTAGGCACGGTCAGCTGGATCACTCTAACTAACCGGAGCGTAATTTACTCTGTCCAAAAAATGCAACTAAAGATCTTAGATGGAAAAAAAAAACTGCTTCTCTGGCTGGTCCACAAGTCTTAGTTTTTATCTTTACTCTTCTCGTTGGCATTTCTATTTTATTTTATTTATTTATATTTTTAACCATGACCCAATCGGAAGCCGACAAAGGGCATTTGTGACAAAACCAAGAACAAGAAAGATATAAAGTGCTTCTCAAGAGCGCGTACGTGAGAGAGCAAAAATATGCGAGAACGCGCACCAGAAGATAAGTGTGTGTGAGAGAGAGAAAGAGCAAAAGACTCCAAGACTCTCACACATTCACATACACAGCATACATTTCAGCAAGAAAGGTATAAGGGAAAAACAAACAAAAAATTTAAATAACATTTAACCACCGACCGTAACAATCAAGTCTTCCTCAATTATCATTGCTTTAGACCAAATTTTAATCTTTCAGTCATTAAATTATTATATCTATCAACAAATGTTATTTCTGAAATTTGGATAGTTGTTTGTTTAAAAATGAAATTATGAATCTAAAACACATCTGTTTATGCTCTCATTCATCGTTAAAGAAATAATTTTTAAATTAAGACAAAATAAATTCGGATAGCATTCACATTTCACACTCCTCCCCTTCCTCCACCTCACCGGACAGCAGCAAGGGCATTGCGTAGGGGGGTGGCCCATCATCCCTTTCTCTCCACTGCAGCCACAATCACCCTGCTATACAACGATCCCATGCATGGGATACAACATCCACAGGTCACTATTATAGCTATAAAGGTAGCGATAGAAATTAGAATTGAGGTAATCATCACTTTATATTTGCTAAATGTGTTTGTCAGCCAGTCATCTAAGGGGTTGTTGACACCAGATTGCTCTGCCATTGCTTTGGACAGGACTTTTAATTGCTCTAATGCTCGTGTTACAGATCCATCCGGGGCAGAATGTACAACAATAACCTTTGATCATTGCACAAACAATGCCATCCTATTCTGGATAGCCATCAGGGAAGTCGGCGCAAGCTGTTCTGCAAGTCCCTATGGCATCTCTAGTTAAATTCGCTAATCTCATAACATTATCTTCTTCTTTTCCTTTCGGCTTGTTCCCAGTTTAGGGGTCGCCACAGCGAATCATCCTTTTCCACCTAACTCTGTCCTCAGTATCCTCTACTCTTGCACCAACTAACTTCATGTCCTCTTTCAGTACATCCATATATCTCGTCTTTGGCCGTCCTCTTGACCTCTTGCCTGGCATCTCCATCTCCAACATCCTTCTACCAGTATAACCACTATCCCTCCTCTGCACATGTCCAAACAATCTCAATCTGGCCTCTCTGACTTTGTCTCCAAAACAACCAACCTGAGCTGTCCCTCTGATGTGCTCATTCCTAATCTTGTCCATCCTCATCACTCCTAAACTGAACCTCAACATCCTCATCTCTGCTACTTCCATCTCTGCCTCTTGTCTCTTCCTCATTGCTACAGTCTACAACCCATACATCATAGCTGCTCTCACTACTGTTCTGTACACCTTTCCTTTGATTCTTGCTGACACTCTTTTGTCACACAATACCCCCAACACTTTTCTCCAACCTGCCTGCACTCGTCTCTTCACCTCTTTTCCACACTCCCCGTCACACTGGATAATCTCATAACATTATAATGAACATAATTTATCCTGTCAATATTTTTATTTGGAGTTACTGGGAAGAGTGCTGCAAGAATGGGAACATTCTCGAAACCGGCTTTTATTTGATCTGCTAACTTCAGGAGAATTCAGGGTCAAGTCAAAAGTTCCTGCGTCTCTCTTTGTTCTACTCTTTTTGTCATAGGTCGAAGGTGAATAATGTGGTCGAGCCCTTAACATAGTTGACCGTTATTCCCCCAAATTCCTTTGAGGACTTATCTTGTTTTGTTCCCAATTGTCCCACATCCCTTTTGGATCTTACCAGAGTTTCATTTTTTTTTCTTTCTTTTTCTGTTTTCCTTTGCCCCCTGGCTTGCTCAGCCTCGCATATCATCAGTCCCCCCACAACTGTGGCAGCCACTATACCTATGAACACCTTCCAGTTTTCCCATAACTGGATTCTGACCTGGCCCCCCATTGCTCTATAACGGTTCATTACTGGTACTGGTTTTCTATCTATTGGGATCTACATTTCGGTCTCTTCGGTTACTACTGTGGTAGTAGTTTCTTCAGTTATAGTTATTATCAAGATCTCTTTAGGTCAATATATTTAGGTCAAGTTTGAAACTGGGTGGAAACAACATAAAGGAGCTCTTTCTGAAAATCTACTGTGGTATTTTCTTTTTGGACATTAAGGAATTTAACTTTTG